GGGGGTTGGACTAGATGACCTCCTGAGGTCCCTTCCAACTCTGATATTCTATGATTCTAAAGTTACCATTCACCTGCTTGGCAAAGCTATAAGCACACGAACAGGCACTGAGGCTGCCTGTTTCCAGATTCAGGGCTACAGCACTATATCATTCTACACTGAGTCCATGTTTGTTAATGGTGAAAAGCTTCTAAAAGGACTAGAAACATATTCTTCTAATTAAAGCTTAGATTCTGCAGAAATGTATCGTATGGATCTTTTCACTCACTGAGGTCTCAACTAGTGGATTTTTCAAATCCTGCTTTAACAAATGTACTGCAGAATATGTATTGTTACTAATTAAAATTACTCTTTTTAAATGTCCTACCCCCCACCCCCAAACCCTTTCACTGATTTGCTTACTTTCTAAATTGCAAATAATCTCCCTCTCATTACATGAATTAGTGAGATTCTGTTGTATTTATAGTTCCCGGGGAAGTTGCATACAGTTTTATATATAACTTGCCATGCTGATTGAAACGTATACAGTAGTAAACAAGCAAACTGGGGGAAATGCCATCTTCTATAATTTGGCACTGCATATTTTCAGAATTTTCTTTGAACTAATTATCTCTTGGAAACCTGCCTGACTCTTTTGCTAATGAAACCTTTTCATGAAGCACTGATGGAGGAATCTTGTCAGTTTGCTAATGGATCTTCTCTGCAAGACAGGCATTTTTCTCTGTAGGAATCTCTGCTGCAGATCAGACTGAGTGAAACTAATACAAGCCTTAGTTTCTTCTGGGAAGGAAGGTTCACAGATCTTAATCAGTAAGTTGTTAGTTTGCTTACAGCTTGGGCATCAGAGCCAGACCTGTCACATGCAGGGTGGGAGTGACCCTGAAATACCCAGCAGTTTTGCGCTGCCTTCTCAGGTGTAAACAGGCTTTTTAAGACGATGCAGAACAGAAATTGAAGCCAAGAAAAGTACTTAATTCAATACATTTGGTCCTTTCAGAACTGCATGGTCTGGTTCCAGGTTTGTAAGAGAGCCTTTTTTTTTTTTGCTCTTAGTCTTGCTCTTGTTGAGGTTTTGCAGCAATTACTGCCCCTGCAGCACTGCTGAGAGCGCAGATGTGGCGGACAAACAACAAGGAAAGATCTTTATCGCCCATTCTTCCTTTATGGAATGTGTAGATGGAGATATCCCACTTTCCATGGTGAGTAAGCCAGGCCTATCTTCTGAGGCTCAACTGTCCAGATATTGCCCAAGCCCCCTTTTGATCAGGCTACAATGGAGCCAAGTGCACTCAGAACAGTCTTCTAAGATGGAGAATTGCTGAAAGGTGCACAAAACAGCCGTGCCAGTTTGGAATGTTGCAGAAGCATCCATGCTCGCATCAGCAAATTGCTGCTGCTGACTATAATCCCTCATGGTCCCACCCACCTGCTTTCCAAATCCCAGCTGTGAAGGGATGGACTTAGAAACAGTTTGGACCCAGCAAAAGCAATAGGATGGCATTAAAGGGCCTATCTGTTTATTCATTTAGCTCATTCCTGCTTCCTCTTCTCCAGTGGTTTGGCCTAACTTCAAAGAAGGCCCTTCTTAACTGAATTTTTCAAAGTCCTCCTTGGTTGAAGGTTACCAATCCATAGGATGTACTTTCAGGGGCCAAGGCAGTTCTGTTCCTCCAACACAACCAGTGAAAAAACACCTACTCTGAACCTCTCCATGGTGTTGTGGAGTGACCCTTTCAAGGAAATAGAGACTAAATCAAAAAGGAGAAGTGTGTCCACCTTTTTCAGGTAGCTCTTCCAATGAGACCCACAGATTTTTCTTCCTTTTCTTGAATACCCACATAGCTGGAAGGAAAGAAGAAAAGGGAGCCAATCAGAAAGGAGAGAGATTCCTCACTTTCCTCTCAAAATCAGGAAGAAGCTGGCATATCTTTCCTGGTGTTCCAAATCTCTTTATTGGAGTCAGACTGGCAATGAGAAACTGGCCAAGGCTCGGGTGGCCAGAAAACACAAACCTAAATCTTGCCATAGGATCTTCTGTCTCTTCATCAGAATCATGGGAGCCTAATGTCTTGAATCTTAGGAGATCTATAGGAGGGAAAGAAAAAGACAGGAGAACTTCTGTTCCTCCACCTGGAAGAAGGGTCAGCTGTTGGTGTTGGAACCCAAGGACCAGGAGGAAAAGACAGGATATTTACCCCCAGGATATTTGAGACACTTTCAGGTTGTCACAAGCCTAGTTCTTCCTCTGGGACAATCCCCCAAAAGAAGAAGGGGGGAAAAAGAGAAAGGGATGTGGGTGGGGTCAAGAAAGAGAATTAGATTAGTAAGAATTTTTTCCCTTTGGGATACAAATTGGAATTATCAGAATTTCTATGCATGGATGTTACTGGTCCTGAATGGGAAACTTTTGCAAAAACAAGTATCTGTGAAAACTTGTTCGGTTTTGTAAAATGCTGCACAATAGGTCAGGGCTAGTGAATTGATCCAAAGTGGATATGGTCCTCTCCTGGAATGGGCACCTCTGTTTGTTTAAAAAACACATCTCATGGCTGGGCCATATTCCTATGGAATATCTGTCAGCAGCACTCATGTGTTTCTCCTCAAAATGCCCTTCATGTCTCCACTAGGGTAATGAAGGTAGATCAACAATTGTCTCAAGGGTCTGACCTCACAGGGTCCCAGAGCCTGGCCTGCAGCCCAAGCCCAAACATTTACACTAAACAGCACCATAGCCTAAGCCTGTGATAGCTGGCATGGTCCAACTGCGGGTTTTTAACTGCAGTGTAGACTCATCCTGAGATGGAATACAAGCCTTGCTACAAATCAGGGTAGTCTTTTTGTTGTCATGCATATGTGTTTTGTGTCAGTTGGACTCTCCTGATTGATATATACCGGTATCCAAAATATGCTAGAAAGGTTGACGTGCTGCATGAATAGCAATTTATTTTGTGGATGAGCTGCTTATTACACGGGTCAGTAATTTTCTATTTTTTTTTTTTTTAAAGTATTTGGTCTTGAGTTGCTTCAGAATTGATTATGGTCTGTTTAATACCTACACTGGTCTTAATGCAAAAGATCTTTTCCCCCACTAGGGCTGGTTTAGAGCTAACTTTACTATTTTCCCCAAAATTTATGACAGTATAGTGCATATTCCTCACTGAGTACTATGGACATGTCAAGTCTGAAGATTTCAGTCTTAATTGTTCTGAATTTATCAGATTGTGAAAAGGCATCAGAATAGTCTTCAGAGCATGGAAAACACTGGAGGTTTGTTTGTTTGTTTGTTTGTTTTAAAGACACATTCATAACTTAAATGGTTGGATTTTCTTTAAAACTTAAGGGAATAATATCTCTAAGTTAAAGTAAGACTTGAGACATTCATGTAAAAGATTTTTTTTTTTGTTCACCTAGTTTCTTTCTCTGCCTTTCTACATATTTCCCCAAACTGAGTTTAAACTCCATCCCCTAATGGCCACAGAACTGGTGTCTGCAACACCTTTTTGTATTTTTATTATAGTTAAGTATGCTTTTTCAGGGCTTATACAGCATTTATATAAGATTTTATATAGTGTTTTTTGCTTTACACACTTCCCCTTATAATACTCTCGCCTCTGTTTCCTTGAAATAAAGATTCATCCAGATCCCATAAGCTGGTTGTATAGAGCTGTCTTCAGACCATAATGATACGACTACCTGACATTGAGTAAAACACAGGTCTTTGTTCTACTTGAGCAAGCTATTTAGGAAGCAATAACCCAACTATGGAATTTGAACTCTGATTTCCCTTTCTAGCAGTAATAATTCTAGTTTACTGACTGACCTATATATTCCATGCTTTTTAGTTTGAATGAGGAAGTACACAGACATTAATTTGTGCGGTACCTTGGCTCAATAGCATATTGGGAAATGTTATAGAATGTCAGAAATAAGACAGTGTCTCGGGGAAAAAAAACCATGGACTTCACTGGTAATCCTTTTGCAGTTTATAATTGTCATGTTTGTTTTTTTTCTTTTTAAGAAAGAGAATATCCTGTATTAAACTTGTCCCAAAATCTAAAAGAAGAATAGTGTGTGAAATAATGGCAACCGGAGACTTAAAAGGAAGTTTACGCAAGCTAGAACAAGGACTTCGCTTGTTAAACTATCCTAGAGATGTGGATTACACAGGGTAAGAGGCAATTAGATATTTTTAATTAACTTGTGCTTATACATCATGATGACTACAAGAATGTTAACAGTTCTGGTAATTGTTAATAGAAATTCCACCACAGAGTCAATATAGAAATTATGATCTGTGCATGTGTGTGCTAATGGCAGGGTATGGTAGATACCTAGTCAGATTGAATACACATTCCAAATCATTTAATTATATAGTGTCAAATTTTGAGTGTGAGCACTAAGAAATAGGTTATTCCTGTTGACAAAGCTGATAGAATACTGATGTTTATAGGTTGAGATTGGGCCATTTGCCATTGTAGACAGTCATGACTTTTATTAGCAAATATCTTCAACAGCCAGAGATGAGACATTGAAGGGGCAGGACTCAGAGTTACTACCGAGAATTTTTCCCAGGTGTCTGGCTGGTGGGTCTTGCCCATATGGTCAGGGTATACCGGCTGCCATATTTGGGAAGGAATTTTCCCCCAGGTCAGATTGGCAGACACACTGATGGTTTTGCGGTTTTTTTTGCCTTTCTCTGCAGCGTGAGGAACAGGTCACTTGCTGTTTGAACTAGAGTAAGTGGTGGATTCTGTGTAACTTGAAATCTTTGAATGAAGATTTGAGAACTTCAGTAACTCAGCCAGAGGTTACAGACCTGCTTACAGGAGTGGGTGGGTGAGGTGTTGTGGCCTACAATGTGCAGGAGGTCAGACTAGATGAGCATGACAATCCCTTCTGGCCCTAAAGTCTGTTACCTGGTTCAGCTGCAGGTATTTTATTGAACAGTAGACATACGTATAGATACTAATATCACCCTTTCCAGCTGTTCAGCATTTCACAATTGACTTGGGACACTTCTGTGGGTTTCACTTTTCTCTGAAGCATTAGGATAGGGGCCTATGTTGGAGGCAGGATACTTTACAACTAGGTATTATTTACATATCTCTTATGGGAAATCTATCAATAGTGCAGCTTCACCAGTGTTGGTAACAGTGAGAGCACTAAGGTAGAAAGACACTGGTATTTTTACCACTGCCCTCTTCTCAGTGCAAGTACAGAGAGGTAGCGATAAGAAGTGGCACTGCTCGCTCTATACTAGCACTCTCGTTAGTAGTAGTTCAGTACTAAGAGAAAGCACTGCAGTTCTTCCCACATTGTCATCTAGACCTGAGCAGGGTCAGATTACACAGTGATAAAATGCTTGTGTATTTTCTACTGTAGCATTACCCCAAGTGCAGCTGAAGTGCTGAGAGATTTCACACAAAATGTTATTACAGGTGCAGCCTGAGATGATTTGCCTCATTTGCACAAATAAGTTACTCTTCTCCCTAGTGAATGGATTCAGTATTTTAATAATCTGTTGAATGTACAATGTCACAATGATAATATTCAGTATTTAATACAACAGTTATTGCACATTCAGTTTTCCTTGGTATCCCCAGTCATTTGTGTAAGTAGTTGCAAATCAAGATGTACTTCACTCAGTTTGTTACTGATAAAGTTATTTGCCCTTGTAGCGAAGCAATGACTTGCCGGCGCGGCGCCTCCTGCTGGTTGTCCTGGAAATTAGCTCTTCACCAGCTTCAGAACGCCCTCTGCAGGCCACTGTCTCGCCTGCTGCTGGCTCTGTGTCCCTCCCGGACCCCTTTCCCTGGGGTTCTGCCCTCCACAGTACCCCAGCTCTGGATCTCCCCTCCCAGGGGAACCCTCACCCTCTACACCCACCTTGCCTCAGTGGCTACTTCCGGTCATCATCTAGCCCCCGCTCACTGGGGCAGACTGCAGTCTGTAAACCACTCATCACTGGCAAGGGGGTTTTGGACCTCTTGCCTTTGCCTAACCCCAGGCTACACCTTTCTAGGCCTTTCACAGGGCCTGCAGCCTGGGGAGTTACCAGGCTGGCGCTCCCAGCTCCTCTTGCCTTCCCCAGCACTACTCTACTCAGGTCCCCTTCTCTCCCAGGCAGCCAGGTCCTTCTCTCTCTACAGCTAGAGAGAGACTGACTTAGCTCCTGACTCACAGCCCTTTTATAGGGCCAGCTGTGGTTGCTTCCCCAATCAGCTTAGCCTTTTCTCTCCGGAGCGGGGTAACTGCCCTGCTACAGTCCTTTTCTCTCTTTAGCAATGCTTTAACATCACAGGTGACCTGGAAATACATATCCGGTTTAGGACTGATGACAAGGTCCATGTAACCAGCAGGCATAAACACTATAATTTTGTAACCATTAAATACCAGCTTCGCAGTGAGGGTGCAAGAATTCTGTAATATGATATATTGTCCAAATCCAGAGCCAAATATGGATTTTAAGTTATTTCACTAATGTAATTTGACTTTGATATCCCCTTTTCAGTATTCTATAACTTGTGGAACAGGGAGGAGGAGCATTTTAACTAACTTTTATGACGGTTCTCTGAACTGTTGTATGGGGTAAGAAAGCTATGGGAAAAGTTCTTGGGGCCTGATTTTTATTCTTTCCTACCTCCCAAAGCTGTCTTTTTCTCTTCTTCCACTATTTGGTGTCTTGCCAGCCTCAGAACAGGCATTTGGTTAGCTTAGAGCTTCTGTACACAAGCATTTCCCGAGCAACACCCCCTGCAGTGTGAAACTGAACAGGCACATTTCATGTATGTTCCTTTTCAGTTTCACTTGGGAAAGTACTTGTGCGCAAGAGTATAATGTTAGTGTCTATGTGACTCCTGGGCACAGTATCTCCACAGGAGTCAGTAAATGGAAAAAACAACAGCTTGTTACAAGGGAAGGTGGATCCTAAGCTACTGGACTGCAGATGTGCTATATACTTGGTTGAATAAATGACACACTATTGCAAAAGCTAAAAAAAAAAAGCCATAATTTCCTTATGCTTGCTGCAGAGTTAGGCACTTAAGTGCAACAGAATTCTAGAGGCCCAGGGTAACAGTATGAGTATTATGAAAAGTGTAACATGCAAAACTTAAATATTATCCAAAAATCCCCAAAGGTGCATGCACAAATGTAAGAGAGAGGGAGATTTTGGCATACTTGATGACATAATTTGATCCACTTTTTACTAGTTTTTCCTGTAGTGCCTTGATTAAAGCTGGACCTTTGCAAAAAATACACTTCTTCCACTGTGCTGTGGAAGCAATAGCATGTCGCTGAAGTTGTTTATAGTGAATACTTCACATTTGGCTTAAGGAAAGTTCAGCTGGAGTTTTTCATTTAAATTGATCTTAAAGCTAATGCAATTCTTTCATTTATAATCATGTTTATGAATTTTGTACAAGAGGAAAAAGCAGTACATTTTTCTGGAAACAGAGGACTGGCTTTATAAATAATCTTAGTACATTAACCAGTTCCATAAACGTAAGTGGCTCAATAAAGCAAAAATGTTGTTTAATCCCTTTGAAGTTTTAGTTCTTCAATAATGGAGAGTAAATGTCAGTTAAAATGTATATCTTCTAATAGATATGTTAATATACAGAATGCCTATTGATAAAGGTGGAGGGGTAATAAAAAGATTTATATGACTACGCAGGGAGATTGAAAACAATGTTAGTGTAGAAAAGATGTTGTATGTCAATGTTCTTCTTTGAGTTATTGTCCACATCTTCGTGGATTCCATTCTTGGTGTGCATATGGCCCGTGCACATGAGCTCAGATTCTTACGACCTGCAGTGTGTGTTTGGGTCTGCACCTGTGTTCTATATGTCCTTGCCTGTGCTCCTCTCCCACCCTCCAGAAACAGGGTATAAAGAGCAGAGCAAGCCCAACTGTCCCTTGTTTCTTTCTTACCATCCATGGCAGCAAGACAGAAACCCTGCAGTGTCCAGTTACTTCTCTGTATTCAGTGTTAGTGTTAACTAGTTCATTTTAATCTTTTTCTTGTTGGCAAAAATACATTTGTTTAGTCAGATATTTAGGTTTTAGGGCCTGCCTCACCCCCTGCAGCGTGCGCGCACACACACATACACACACAAATACAGGGGCTCTCGCAATATGGAAGAAGTGAAATCCCTGGAGTTTAAAACTTGACTCTCTCAAGAGAAATTTCAACACCACTTAACAGGTACTCTAGATGCCTTTGTTTGCCTAGGTGAGGAATATGTTCCATACATATTCCTGAGAAGCTGGTTCAATAAAAGATATTACCTCACCCACATTCTCTCTCTAATATTTCATATATCACTTCTCTAAGTAGATTCAGAAAGCTTGAGAAAGCTCTTAAAATCATTCCTCATGTAATGCTCTATGTCAGCCTCCACAGATGCCAAAAAGAAGGATGTAGGGAGACCTCAGTTCTCCAATCAGTCCCTCTCCATGAGCACCCCAGTGGGCCAATATTTCACCCTGAACTTGCACATTGTTGACTAAGAGGCCTCGGTCGTCTGCCTCCATTCTAGCATCAGATATAAGCTGAGGCATAAGTTATCCTCTCCAGTGCCTACCAAGTCAGACACGAGCAAGTCAGATACCTGCTCATCTTTGGCTCAACAGTTAAAGGGTAGTCCAGAGGCCTGACATAAGTCCATCTGGTGCCTTGGTACTGAGTGTTAAACGTGTATCTTCAGTACCGACGAAACATGTGGACTGCCCTTGCTCCATCATTGGCCCCTTGGTACCTGGTGTGCAGGTACCATCTGTACTAGCACCTAAAGCGCATATGAGTACAGAGTATGAGTAAAGTACAGAGTGATCTAACTGTAGGATTAATAACCGTGTCAGTGAGGATGCTGATAGCTAAGCCACCAGTTAATGTGATTCATCAGTACAGCAGATGAAGGAGGTATCTCCAGTACCAACATCATCCCCTGCCCAATTAGGGAAAATACAGCAGAGCCAGAGCACTCCTGAAAGGATGGCCTTCCCACCCCACCCCCTTTGGAAAGAAGTATACTTCTTCTGTTCATCCTCATTGAGACTCAGTAGGGAGTCATCTCCTACATAGCCACCCTCTCCCACTTGGGTAGCACAATATAATCAGGAAGCAACTTGGGACTCACCGGGAACATCTTGGTACCCCCATCCCAGTATCTATACCCTTATCAGCCTTGGCCCTACTGGGTACCTGTGCATGTGCAGTCATATTCTCATAAGCCTGTAATTTCTGCCCTTTCTAAAGTTAGACTGCCCTTCCCAAAGAGGCAGTATAGACCAACATAGGCAGGCCAGCTAGTGCAGCCTCAAATACAGTGACATGACGAGGAAAATGATATGGAACAACATCTACAAGGGAAGAAACAACTTTTCCCTGCTTTAGTTTCCTCATCCTTCCCCAAGGATGCAGTAAATCCTCATTGGATAACTTCAAGGAGTTCTGGGACCTCATCAGGCATATGGCAAAGACTCTGGAGATATTTCTGGAAGTGGTACAAGAGAAATATGATAAGCTTCTGGAGAACTTGCACTCTTCCACACCTGGCAGGCTAGCAATGCTGACAAATGAGGAATTGTTGGAGACTGCTGAAGATCTTTGACAGACTCCAGCCACACCCAAGTATGCAGACAGAAGGAACAAAGTCCCTTCAGATTCCTACTTTGGTAAATAGACAACTGCTTGTTAGTCACCAAGAGTGGAATCCGTGTGGACAATCACTTGAAGAAGGGTTACTGTAGCTTCAAGACAAGTTCTTTGAGATGCATTGTCCATCTGGATTCCTTCACCTACCTTCCTTTCTGGTTATTACACAAACCTGGAGGAGCAGGAATTCTGTATTGGTAAAGGAATCTGAGGGATGGTTGAGCTAACTGCCTTTTATGTTCTTGAATGGGTGAACTTCTAGGGCGTAGATGTGGCCTAAAGAATCCAATCTCATGTGTATGCTGTTCATGTGGGCAACAAATCTTCAAAAGACACAGTTTATCTAAGGTACACCTCTACCCCGATATAACTTGATCCAATATAACACGAATTCATATATAACGCAGTAAAGCAGCATTCTGGGGGGCGGGGCTGCGCACTCGGTAGATCAAAGTTCAATATAACGCGGTTTCACCTATAACGCAGTAAGATTTTTTTGGCTCCCGAGGACAGGATTACATTGGGGTAGAGGTGTAAGTAACCATTTTTTAATAGAAGCCTGAAAATTGTAACCAAGGTATTGTAGCTAGATAGGTTCTTTGAATTATTAGATCTCAAGATTGGTGGATGGACTAAATAAGAAAATGGAAAGTAAAAGAGAATTTAGGCTTTGTTTTAATAAATAGGTCAGTATTTGCAAGTGTTTATACCTCTTTGTGGCCATAATCCCGTCTGAAAAGTCTTAAATTCCGTCAGTATTCAGGCTGAGTGCATATGACTTCAATAAGACTGGCCTTTAAAGTACAGATGAAGGAATAGTGCTTTTTGACCACTTTGTTACCCACATAACAGCATTTTGGGTATTGCAAGTAGTAGAATTCTTGATTAAAGTAATTCTTTCATGAAACTGAAGGCAATTCATGTTAGTCTCACTATGATATTCGGTTATTGCATTCTGCTTTTATCTTTGTCACTGCAGTAGTAACTTTCTTTAATTTTAGGGAGGAGGGTATTCCAGTTACACAGTGCAGATAATAGGGCTTCATTAATTCATTGCCTTTGGCATCCTGCTCATCCACAAAAGGACTCCAACGAGAGAGAGAGAGAGACTCTAAGATGTCTGTGCATCTGCCTCTAGACTTTGTGGTCTGCTGAAGCTGCAAAAAATATAAAAACTGAATAACGAAAAGCAGTTCTAAATACGGCTGTTAAGCAGAGCTTGAAAAATTTACCAGACTCCTATTATGTGAAGTGTAATCATGCTAAGAGATAACAGCAAAAGATACACATCAGTGAGATTCAGGGCAAAGTGTTTTCACAGTCTCGGTGGAAATCTGGTTTCATTGGATTAGCAACAAACAACTGGAATGACATAAAGACACAAAACAAAAAATAAACAAACATTCAGAGACACTATAAAACACTTATTACAATACTAATCCCAGATACAAAGGCAGAGTTTAGGTAACGGTGAAGGACTATATTTCAGTTGCTGAGTACCGTCTTTCTTTTCTTTTCCAGTATTTAAATGGTAGGTCTAGATTTCTACCCAAAATCTGTTTGCACAGGAAGTTTTCACTGTTTATTGTGTTAGCTGTATAAAGTGTGGCAGTAAAATCATGGAACGTAGTTCAGACTTTTGTTAATTTAAGATTTATACTTTGTCCCAACATGCGCAACACCAGTTCTGTGTGTGTGTGTGTGTGTGTGTGTGTGTGTGTGTGTTGTTTGCATT